TCCCTCCCAATACCAATGAAGATCCACCAAGGCAAGCTCAGAAGAGGGGGAGGGATAAGGAAAGATTCTGGAGGACTCAAGGTAGCTCCTGGCTGGACATCAAACCAGTCCTGGAAGATGATCTGCTAATCCCTCTTGAAGGACATTCCATCTTCTTCCCCTCCTGGCCAAACCACATCCCCCAGTCTCCCTCTTGAGGAATCAGCCAGCCAGTCCTTTGTGAATTTATGGATTCTCTTCTTAATATCTTGTTTTTGTTGTAGTGTTTGAAGCCCAGATTTTGTCCTATCCCATTGAGACCTTATTTATGTTTCTATAAACTATTGTACAAGATCAGACATTTATTTGCCATCAATCCTTATTTTCTCCATCGTATGCACACACCTTCTATACCATAAAACCCATAAAATGGCTTTTCTTCCTATGTTAAATAGATTCTGCTGGAAAGTTGATAAGGAAATGAGGAGAGGGCACCAGTGACCCAAGAGGATCGCCCTCCAATCCCAAGGCCAATCCACACCTGTCAGCCTACACCATACAAAGTCCCAGCGCCTCCACAGCAACTTTGCCCCCGGACATTGCATAAAATGTGCTCAATCATCTCCCTGATCCTCCTACTAGGAAAGGCCTCTACACAGACACAGCACCACAGCTGAGCTAATCCTCTTTTTTGTTCCAACGTGGAATGGTCAATCAGCCAGTCATTGGATGGTAAACAGCGATGGACAATCTGCCATTGTAATGATGCAAACTTGGCTGGCCTCTCCTTAAATCCTTGGCACCAATTAATCGGTTTGAGCAAATCCATGTAAATGTTAAGATGTCGAGCCCAGCGTTCTTGTATAACAGCAACGACATGTACCCGGGGACGTAACAGACGATACGATGCCTTTACTGATAGAGACTGTAGTTTTTTAGATTTGCATCTCCTATTGGTACGCCAGGTCCACTCTGCAGGGTTCAAAGGAAGTTCTGGGATGGGGAGATGCGGAGCAAACACAAGCCATCCTTTGGAGGCTGAACAATATAATGTCCTTACCCTATAAAGAGAGTCAAACTGAAAGAAAGCAACCCTATCCTGATTACTTTGTGAAAGGGAATGGTCCTTGTGGAGTGCGAAAAGATTTACCAGGGCACCATCCGTATGAATATCTAATATTTGTCCCACTACCCTGGAGCCATCTGACTGATGAGCACACACCCAGTCCGCAACGAGAACATTAGGCCCCTTTTTCACGGCTGCCACCCAATAGCTGCAAGGTTAAAACAGGGGAACACAGGTGCTCACAACAATGATAGTACAATGATACCTCAATGACATAATTAAATATGTAATGAAAGGTGGGAGAGCACACTAGGATGGGCCTTAGATGGTAATATACATCATGGGTTCTGGGAGGGAGGGAACAGGGGTTGGCGTAAGCCACCCCACATCAGCTCCACACTTAAACAATACACTTCACACTGTCACAGCACTGCACAAGACTGCAGCCACGGAAATATGAAGAAGGACGGCCACTAGGGTTTAAGGGTTTATACCCTTTATAGAAAACATGTACAGAATTGGAAGGAGGGCGGTGATGTGGACACTCTGGTGGCAGAGGTGCACCCTGGCCATGGAAAAGGTACGGGTAGAAGGTGCAGAGATCACAGAACAAATACAGCAGCAAATACACCTTGACCTCACACGTAAATGGCTAGACACAAAATCACAGCTAGACCTCCTTCTACAGACTGGGGACGTCAAGAGAAGGATTACAGTTTTCTGCAGAGATTGGGTGGGGGGGGAAAGAGAAGGCTGGATTGCAAAGGTGGTATGGAGCGGAGATCATGAAGAAGGGATGAGGGACTTGGAAGAGATGAGAGATTATAGGTTAGTGTTTAAGGATTGGACTAATATTAGAGCCCACGTTCCCATTACGCCCCCCCTCAGACTTCCCAGACCTCTTCCCACCCCACACCCTGTCCCTGGCAGAATTTTGGTCCTGATCCTCAGACCCCTTCATGTCCCTTTTGTCTATCATTCTATTTGCTCTCCACTGACAACCACGAGGAACTTCTCCTCAGTGCCCCCTGGGGAGAACCTCGCTCATCCACAAAAGCAGCCTGCATTGGCAGTCAGAAGGCTGGGTTTGGAAGCAAGCAGCTGGTGACAGTATCAGTCCTTAACTTTCTATCTGGCGCCCTCCCTCTAAGGATGAAGAGATACAGAGGCAACAGCTGGTTCACACAGTTTACACAGGTCTGCTCAGTTAATCCCCTGCTCTGCAGGGCAATCAATGCTGGCAGACAACAATGGCTTTCCATTCCCACAAAAGATGGCACTGCAGTTCTTACAGATGCCTTTTGGCTCCCACACAAGCCCGCTTAGTTAATCCCCTGTTACTGCAGGGCAATCAATGCTGGCAGGCTCCACAGTCATCACAGTCTCCAGATCCTTCTGAAATATTCTATTCGTGCAAACTGGGACGTTGAACCCGATTTCCACCAATAGATGGAGCCTCTCCGCCGGTGGTAGTGCTGTCTGCTCTTATCAGCAGCACTAGCACTGGAAGGGGTGTTTCGGTTTAAAAAAAAAAAAAAAAAAAAAAAAAAAACAGAGTTAAGGGTTTATCTTATCAGATACTACTGCAATCACATATCCATTCATACAAACAACCACAATGTTCAGGGATGCTGGACCCGCTTTCCAGCAGGTGCTGCTCCCCATCAATAGATGGACCCTCCCAGGTAGTGCTAGTGGTGCCTGCTCTTACCAGCATCCCTAGCATCTGTTCGGGTTGTTTCCCAAAAAAAAAAAGAAAACAATACTCCTTTGTTGCCTTACCCCATACCTAGCTCCGGAGTTCCCCGTGCAATCGGGCTTGCACGGTGTCTGCTTCAACCGTGGCTGAGCAGGGGGTAGGGTCTCTGCTTAGCCCAGGTGCCTGCAACCGCCGTCTTGTAAGGTCACCCTGTGTTACATGCAGCGCGTACACACACGGGCCATTTGGCAGGCCCGACGGCCATTTTGCAGGCCCGACGGTGTTCAGGCCAAAAGCCTGAACTTCAGGCGGAAAGCCTGAATTTCAGGCCGAAAGCCTGAAATCCAGGGCTTACAGGCCCCCTGTCGGTTCAGGCCAAAAGCCTGAAGTCCAGGGCCTATCCCTGGTCGTTTCAGACTAAAAATGGCAACAGCCTTTTTAGCCTGAAACGAAGGGCCATTTTCGGTCGCCCTGAAACTCAGGCACCGAACCAGGGTTTCGGGAACAAACTATTAATAGTCTGTTTCCCACGCCAGCCTCAAGCAGGCTGCTGCACGCCAGCCCCTGGCACATTTCGGCATTGGCAAGAGTTGCCTCCTCGGCCTGACTGGCCTCCAGCAGTCAGGAGGCAGGCCGAGGTAGTACATAGGACTTCCCAGGCACTTCCGAGGGAGGCAGTTGGCAGTAGTAGTCTTCAGGATTCGGGTGCAGCACTCTGGAGGGAGCGCTGCGTTGTAGTAGATGAAGCGTTAGCTAGTAGTCTTCAGCGCTGGGCGCAGTAGGTAGCTGTGGTCTCCAGCGCTGGGCGCCATAGCTAGGTAGTACTAGAGAGAGAGAGAGAGAGAGCTTGGGCGGAGGCCAGAGGTACCTACCTGCAGCGCCGTTGCTCCAGCTTCGTCTTCGAGGTACCTGCACCACAGCGCCAACACCACAGGTTTGTATCTGGTTCGTAACAGAGAGAGAGAGAGAGTTCTTCTTCTTCTTCTTCTCAGTCCACCATCTCTTCTCTCCCTCTCACTTCTGACTTCACTGCATCTGCAGACTATGAGAGAAGAGATACAGAGCTTGGTGACATTTGATCCAGACTCGACTTTCRAGGGTTCAGACATGGCAACGAGGGACTATTTGGGATTGGTGACCAAGACTTGGTGTTAACGACATTCCCATCTTCTTCCCTCCTTTTGTCTGATCCTTATCTCTTCGTCTGTGTATGTCTGGACCTGGCACTTTCTTCCTGTGTGCAGCGCCAGGCTCCTTCACACTTCGTGATGGATACAATGCATGTTTAGTCTGAGTTCAAACATTGATTGGGCAAGTTAGAGGTACTCTAGCATTCTGCTTCGTTACTCTGAACTACGTGAATGAGGTCAGTCCTGCCAGGTCAGTCTTTGTATCAAAATCTTCCCTGCGCTCTTCAGCATCTTTATGTATGAATGAGAATGTACATTGCTTGTCGAGATTCTACTCGTACCGCATTGTCTATTCAGTCCTTTTCATCACATTGCAGATTCTCGGTTTATTACGTACATTGCAGATCTGTGCAGGTAACACCCTGCCAAGACGTTGATGGGTGATGGTCCTGGGTGGCTAACACTAGGGTAGGACAGGGGGGGTGGGGTTGCGCCAGGCCAAAAAGATGAGACGAAGGGTGGGTGGGGTCTTCAGAGGGGTTCATTTGGACAACTGAGTGGCCGAGTACTGTGGGTGACTGTCATCTGTCAAGTATCCCACCTCTACAGGGAATTGTCCTTCTTCCCCCAAATCTGATGTCAAGAGGCCAATGTGCAGCTTCATCAACCCACATTTTTTTTATTTTTATTTTTTAAATAACACCCACCAAGGGTCTCGTTAGACACTCCTAAAAGAATCCTAAAAGATTTAGGACGAGTCCTAAAAGTTTTTTAGGATTTCGTGCGGCGTCGTTACACGCAATCCTAAAAATCGTCTTTTAGGAATCGTCCTAAAAGGTTTCCCGCGGCCCGTTTTCATACACGTATACGCAGCCGGGTTGCGGATGTCCGTCCAGTCCTGGCTGGTGTCCGTGGTCCACACTGCGGTGGGGCTTGGGCGGCTGCCGACGGGTTGGTGAAGCGCGCGGTTGCCGAGACCTTCAAAATTTGAAATTCGAATTTTGGCGGACGCAGGCTGGCGGGCTGGAGGACAGCAAGGCGACGCGTGTGACGTACAAGACACGGCGGTGGCGGCCGCTTCGCCGTGGGTAACCAGCTTTGCTGTACGCGGGRATTGTGAGGCGCACGGCGCATCTTCCTGCTCGGCGCATCTTCACGTACGGACGTGCCGTCGCCTTCGCTGTGGAAGCGTACAGCAGCGGGTGCGTCTTCGGCATCGCGCTTGTTCCATCTCCTGAGGTAGTGCACAGCTGCGGGACATCTACGGGTCACACAGTGTGCGTGGTGTCCAGTGGCAACGCTGAGCAGCGGGCATGTCTTGGGCGGTTGCGGCAGGAGCGAAGGTGTGGCGGGTAAGCGATTTGCGGAGATGGATGGCGGAGGCTGCGGCCGCGGTCTGCGGGCGGAAGACATGGAGGCGGTGGCGATGGTGGTGTCTACCGTCGTCCTGAAGATGATGAACGAGATGTCGTCGTCGTCACGAGATGTGGCGAAGCAGCTCCGTAAACGATGAGCGCTGTTGTAGAGCGTTGCCGAAGCGGAGGATTGTGTGGCGACGTGTGAGGCAGTGGTCCAGTTGTGTGCCGCGCTGTCGTCTGGCGTTTTCCCCCGGCAGACCCCGCGATGGTGGATCAAACGACGTACTGGCGGAATATGGGAGGACCTCCGGCAAAGCGATGACGCCACGGACGAGTACTACCGCCAAAAATTGCGCATGTCGATGGCCATGTTCAAGCAGATCGTAGCCGCTCTCGCCTCGTTCGTGGAGAAGAAGGTCACGCACTACAGGACGCCATTGCCAACGGAGTAGGTTATCGCTTTCGCGTTGTACAAGTGGGCGTCCGGGGAAACGTACGAGAGTGGCACTTCAGCTTTCGGCATCGGCAGGGCCACTGGACTGCAGGCCGTCCGCGACGTCACTTTGGCGCTGCTGCGGGCGAACCCCGACGCCATCAAGTGGCCAGTGGGCCGCAGACGTGCGCAAATTCTCCGCGCTTTCCGTGACAAGGGATTCCCGAACTGCTTCGGCGCGATTGACTGCACACACATCTACATCGACAAGCCCGCCGACGCACCTTCTGCCAACTACTACGACCGCAACCACAAGTTCTCCGTGCAGGCGCAGGTCGTCGTGGATTTGGATCTCCGGATCCTAGACGTCCACGTCGGATACCCGGGGAGTGTGCACGACGTCCGCGTCCTGCACAATTCCCAGCTCTGGAGGCGCGCACAGACTGGCGAGCTCTTCGACGCAGCTCCAGAGAATTTGCCGCACGGTGTCGTCACGCGAGGATACCTGCTGGGCGACAAAGGTTATCCTGTTGCCTGTCCATGGATCGTGCAGCCGTATGGAGGAATAGACCAAGGTCCTGACGAGGAGCGCTTCGACAACCGGCAGAAGGTGGCGCGGGGGTGTGTGGAGAGGGCGTCCGGCCGGCTGAAGTGCATGTGGCGTCTGTTCTTGCGCACCCACAAGACGAACCTGGAAACATTGCCACAGCAATTCGTCGTCGTCTGCACTCTCCACAACATCCTCCTCGATGCGGGGATCGACTTCGATGAGAACCGGTTATGGGAGGTGGGTTCGGACGGCGTCAGGCGCAGAGTGGACTTGGGCATTGTCGGGGGCGGCGGAGGCGGGCGGCCACAGAGCTCCAACTTCGAGGGGGAGTTGTTGTGGAACGTGCTTCGCGACCGCTTGGCTTTGATGTAGGCCCTCGCGGAGAGAGAGAGAGAGAGAGAGAGAGAGAGAGAGAGAGAGAGAGAGAGAGAGAGAGAGAGAGAGAGAGAGAGAGAGAG